ACATATTGTACACAATATTTATGCGATCCCACATTTGAAAGTTCTATAAATAAATGTCGTGAAGCTCTAAGACGCAATATATTCAAACAGAGCACCATTGGCGCTGTATCCGTTGAAATTAACAAGTAATAATCATAATTACGCCTTTTACAACGTCGCTCTCCCCGTTGAAACGCCAATTATCATCGGGAGCAGCAGCTCATTATAACTCCGCGCTGTTAGTCCGCCGTTAAAAACGTTCGTTTCGCAATTTTGAGGGTTAAAGCTGCACCCCACAGTGTCTCTGCACAGCACTGAATAATGGCAAAAGGGTGGAATTTTATGTACCTAGCAGAAGCTTTCACTTTAATTGCTTTTATCGATGTTATTGTGGGTCGCAATCTGGCTTTGAGGAAAGGGGCGAAATGTTATTTACACCGCATTGAGTGTAATAATGGGAGGAAAACAATTGTGCGTCGTCGCTCGTCGCCTTTCCTTTGTTTTCATAAACTGAATAGGGGTAATGCAAGTAAAGAATAGCAAGGAAGTAATGAAAGAAATTTGTTCTGTTCCGCTGTTTCTTGCATTGTGGAGAGCATGGTCTTCAGCTCTTATAGTATTTCAACTTCGAAGTTATACTCCTGCAAACGGTGAAGCTATAATGGCTCTTGGCCTCTCGTCGTCTTGGTTCACAAGACGAACGATTGGTCATACAGATATTTGTGAAAATACTCCACAGTACTGACCATGGTACTTCCCTTTGACCGTCTTCTGCTTGTAAAACACCTCCAAATCAGTGTCTATGATAAACTTCGTTCGGGGTTCAGGATATGGGAGAACCAGGGAAGAACACTTAGCTTCTTCTCAGATTCTCTCCTGCAAGTTTCGCAAACCAACCACGTAGACTTGTCTTCAAACATGTCGGCGCGGTACAAAGTCCAAATGGCATTACGTTGAACTGCCACAAACCTATGGAAAACGGTGTCCTTTCTTCATCATTTGATGTAATGGGATTTGCCAATAAGCGTGTGCAGAATCATCGATATCCAGACAGCGTCTAGCGCGTTGTTTATCTCCCATTTAAGTTTCTTGACGAACCTGTACCGACAATACGTTAGATAGAATCTCAGTTACTCTCGCGCAGCCAACTGGGATAATTTAATAACTGAGATTGTACTAAGGTTACATGGGATCTCGCGTGGAGCGTCACACACTACTACACTTACATATAATTTAATGCAATTAAGACGGAACCGATGCCATGTGTAGAACACCATAACTCGCGGAGATAAGTGTGGATGTGTCGGCACGCGAGGGTGGGAGCTAATTTGGCACTTGCTCGATATTAGGGACAGGCGAAGGGTGCATCAGACAGTCATCGCTTCCGCGTGTGCGATATTGGAGTCGTTTGAGGGCGGAGGATGCGTGGAGGCGCGGGAACAATCAAATTTTATGCTCAAACTTGTCTAACTGAGAGTCTTAATCCGATAGTACGTGTCGTGAGGGGAATCGGCGCGGAATAATACAGATTGTTTGAGATAGTTAATTAATGACTTAATACTGCGAGACGTTTACGGTTATCTCTCCATCCGTTTTCGTGAGGACTTACTTCGAAACGTCATAAAAATCACACTGAATTTCAGTGTATATAAACGAGGTAGTCGGCAAAAGGATGGTACAAAATATAAATAACGATAACTTGCCTTATATTTACATCTATAGAGCGGCTCTAACTCTACCCACTCTCCTCAACAGCGGCTTTAACGAGATACACTGTAGAGTATTGAATCTAACTTTAGTAACTTTCTTTAACGGTCTACGGAGAGGTGGCGCCCAACACTGGCAGATAAGGGACTAGGCCTGCGAATTTGCATGGGAAATAAGGGCTTTATGCGGAATTTAACTTATCAAAACATTAAAAACTCCCAAAGATGAAGATGGCCGCCTTGAGATAACAAACGGTGTCTTGGAATTTCCTAGAGTGGCGTATAATTTAATTAGTTGGAAGTTTACCGAGCAGATGTCTTCTTTGCACTGCCACTTTGCCACAAAAATTTAATTATCTCGTATAATATAATATTAACCATCAACTAAAAAATATTCATAATTTCGACACGTTTCGTTTTGACGTTTGTCAAGTCATGATTTCTCCATTTACTATTCTAATTTATTTCTTAAAGCACCTACCTATAAGTGCTGAATTTCACGCAAAAATCGATGATTGCGGGAAAACGGCCTCTCAGGACAAACCAATATAAATCGTATAGAGATAAGGAAGGCTTACAGAACAACTGTCGTCGTATATTTGCGTTAAAAAACACAACAAAGATACTGTAAATTGTGATCACCATTACAAGAGACCATGTTCCTCTTCTAGAAATTAATGTTTAGTGCTGGGGACTTTGTTGTTAGAATCATACGAATAAGGAAAGGCTTTTCCCTGTATCCCTGAGGTTAATGTTAAGATTTCTATAGAAATTATTAGTGATTTATTATAAATATAAATATAAATTATTAGTGTTTTATTATAAACTCATTTTAATATTAGCTTCCCTTAATTAAACCATTTTTGATTCGAATGAACAGTTTCACAGTCTAAAAAATATGTTCTAATTTTAAAACTCGCGAATCCAAAATTCAAATTATTATTTGCCTTTAACAATTCAATAATTGTTTCCGACTTGGTGTAAAACACGATGAAGATTCGATTCATACAATTTCACTGACAAATACAAATTGAAATTTTCATCAAAACAGCTTTAAATTTGGGGTGTAAATGAAAAAAGTTTTAAACAAAAGTATACATCAATAATTGTGCAATATTATTGACGTATTCTACGCGAATTTTTAACGAAATGTGACGCTGTTTTTGATAACGTGCATTCAAATTGCTGTCAGCTCACAAACTATATGTTTGTGTGGCTCGTATGAATATAGGTATATGTATTTTTATTCATACCCATTTCAGTTGGATTTTAATTTGCTGCCGTATTTCTGAAAGAGAATTAAAATACGATTTCATTACTTTTTTATTAATATTTATATTTTTTATACACACTGCATTTCAAATTTCTGTCAACAAAGTTTTGATTTTTGATTTATAGAGAAGTTAAAAACCGTTTACCTGTTAACCATATTCGATTCGTTTGTTTATGAAATCGGAAATATTCAAATAAAATAAGGACTGTATTTCGTTTTATATTCGGTAACACACGGAATTTCCACAAAGCGAATATTAATAATTTGTCGCGTTGTTTTTGCTGCAAAGCTTTTAAAAATTTTACAAAGGCAACTACGCCTTGTCTTATTCCAAGTTACATTGAAGTAAATAGAGTTGCTACATTCCCATATGTTCCACATTTTAATTTCTTTATTTCTTTTCTTTATAAAGAACATACGTAGAATCTCGTGCTCAAAGAGTAGGATACGTTGCGCGTAAATAAAAAAAAATCGTTCATAATCATTTAATCCATAAAGAGAAACGTGTTTAAATTTTCATGAAACCAACCCATGAGGAATATCAAATTAGCGAAAGAAAGTTTCTATGAAACTTGTAACAATGTTAGTACTAAGTAGAATTTACAACTTGCAACACTGCTTTGTTGAAGTTGCAGCTGGAAAAATTTCCCTTTCCCAAGACTTCAGAATTACTTGAACACAGGAAAACACCGGCACAGGTGTATATCCTTATTATACAAATTAACCTGCTAGCAGCGTCTTTCACCTTGCCTCCAAAAGACAGCAGTTTCCCGCGTTGTATAAATTACTTTATGTTAGAATTTAAAAAGTGGGGTGCTGCGACTTCGCGATAAGACCAAGGTAAGAAACACAGAGGGGGGTGGATAGTCCTCTAGAGTATGATTTATTCTCAACTTTTACTTAACAAAACATCTTCCTGATTGGTAATAATAGACAAACCTTTGATTCCTATTGTAAATATTTATAAGGTCATTGAATTTTTTTAGAGTAAGTTTTGCATAAAAATTACCTCCTAACAACTTATTATTAAATTGCTGTATCAAATTAGAATTAACACTCGCAATATGCTTCAACAAGCTCATTTCTCGTGTATAAAAATGCATACATCTGTCAAGCGCAATAAGATTTCCTTATTTACTATTTCTTTTTGGCGCCCGCCGACAGCTGCTCCTCAGACGGCAATATCAAGCAGTTGCAGTGAAATATTGCGGCGCTTATTAAAAATCTACGCCACGCTCCATTAATATTTCTATAAAGTTTATTTGAACAGTCTTGGAATCCGTTCAAAAGCGCTAGTCTAGGATGTTATTAGAGTAAACGAACGGCACTGTGGAAAGATTATACGAGTAAATATTGGTCGGTGTCTGCAAGACACATTAATGAAATCTCGTTGAAAGTTTATTTTTTAACACTGCAACAGATGGAGAATTCAGTTTTGTCCCCTTACAGAATAGAATTACCAGAATTACGTAGAATACTGTGACTATTATTTTATGATCGCATCGACAGTCCTGACCTATATGTACAGACAAATGCGCTTTTGAGCCATAGTTTGTTATGCTCCCAACTAAACTTGGCAGTCGTACAAATCATGATATATCTCTGCAATATCGTTCCCCAATATATCAAATGCCGTCTCAACATAAAACACCTTAAGGGTTCCCCGTATTTCAGATGTTTCGTCGACATTGTACTAAAGGTGGCGCGCTAGTGGCATAAGTCATTGCAAATGTGCTCACTTGGAGATATATAGCACAAAAAGGTGGAAGCAGTCGAATGAACACAGAAGCTGTTACTTTCAATGGTTAAAAATGATGTAGGTAGTTGCGGAGTATGTGTATCTGTTCTCAATGTATTGTAATGATGTGGAAAATATTAATGTCAGTCAGATAGACTAGTTATTTATTACGTAAACCTGAAAGAATATGTTTCGTAGCTCTTTAAAACGCTGAAGGGACATTTTTGAGACCAAAAGGCATTCTGATGAACTCACAATGTCCGTTATATTTGATGGCATCCACTGTATTGTACATTTTTTGCAGGTGCTGCCGCTGCCTCAAGGATGTACGTCGACGCCATTAGCAAACTGGCCCGCCAAGCCCAACAAGGTACTTGGGGAGGATCTTCCGATATTGGTAAGTGAATGCATTTTCTTTCTTTTTGTACCCGGTAACTTTCCTGTCGTTGCGAATCTAGGAACTAAAGACAATAATGCGTAAACGTAAACGTAAAATTCGATTATATAAAAATATCGAGTAATCGGACGCATATATTGGCAACGCAGTAACTTGGAGTTATACAATTATTTGTGCGTCATTTTTGGGGTGAAATATTGCCGTTGCGGATTCAAGCCTGATTCCTAAATTTCTTATCGGAGGACCTCATCTCGATTCAGCAAAAAATAAATTAAATCACAGTTCCATCTTGGCAAATAATCCTGGAAAGGCGACCTGAAACCTTAATAATTTCATTACCCTCTCAGCGAGGTTCGACGTGATGGAATTAGAGTAAACACACTTTCCGATCAGGGTTTGATTCGAGTGAATTAAAATCGAAAACTTTATGCATTTTATTTTCATGATACAGCGCAAGGTCACCGAAGGATACTATACCGATTTATAAACCCTTCTGAGCACCCATTAAGAATTAAAACCCTCCGACCATAAATTATGAAAAGTTTTTATCTCAGCTTTTCATAAGTCTTTTGCTAAAGTTAATACTCTCCCCACGCTGCCTTTTTACTTATTTTCCGTCACGACACTACTGCCTATGGGTAAGATGAGCACTAGACCTAATTTTGGACCCATCCGAAACGCCCCGTGAAATAACACGAACAGTAAAAAATTGCTGCCTTATTTGGAGCAACTACTAACAGCACCCTCTTATAAAAGGGCTCTCCGCCGGAAGACGTGCAGTCATTTGTTTCGGCTTCTGGGGCGCGAAAAGTCAGGGGCTCGAGTTTATTTTGTTTAGTTCATCATAAAAGTCTTGGAACTTTGTAAATCAAGCAACTTCTTAGTCTAAGGTATGTTTGATCTAGTCATGTATACACTGTTGTCGATTTTAGCAAGATACTTGAGCAGGGTAACTCGAATGAAACAACCAGGAACGGCACTGGCTACTGCATACCGTCCTGCTATCTATGCCGGGCGAAAGTTTACCCACTCTCTTCCAGATTTATCTTTCGGAATTGAAACTTTGCACAGCGGTGCGTTGATGGAAGTAAAATAAAGCCGGGGGATATTAGGATCTCCTCCAGAAGACGATTACTGCAGACAAATTACGCGGATGGACAAGGGTCTACCTAAAATGGTTCCTATTTGCTTCGTTACTGTCATAAGTTTTTAAAATCAGAAGCAGAACCACCTAAGAATATTCCTATAACTACATATACATATATTTCTGGTAGTTTTTAACACCTATTTTTGTCTTTTGTTAAAGGACTACTACGAAAATTCATTAGTTTAGCGACGTTTAAATTTTCAGTTGAATTTGCTACACAAATACGTTAAAGCAAAAGAGTTAACACATAATTTACATAGCTCGCTGATGAATAAAAAGCGAAAAATCCCAGGAACTTGTGTGAAAACCTCTGCTCGCTCACTATTTCACTGCATTCCAAACAAAGCAGCTTATCCAGCTCCGTGTACGAAATTTTAAAAATGCGAGCGCTTTGTGAACTCACAATACTCTACCTCTTTGGAGGGGTAGTAGCGGTAAATTATTCCATTAAGATTCCTCGTTAGAATTGCGCGTGTAATGTTTAGGCAAAATAAACGCCGGGAAAATTAATATTCCGCTATTTTCTTCATATCGCTCAGGCTAGAGTGCTTATTAACATTGCATTCATTAAATTCTATTGGCGCTCACACGAAATCAGACGCTACTAAATGAACTAACAATTTTTAATAAAACTTAAGGACACACCGTCGATATTACTTTACTTTAGGTTTGAATCTGAGTTTGAAAATAAAATTAACTGCTCAAAATCTTCAAAAAATGTACCTAAGTGGCAAAAAGAATGATCATACGAAGAAAATATAAAAGTCGTTGACGTAACTCAAAAAAACTAAGGAAGTGCGGGGAAATATATTCTTTAAGTAACCAATACCCTGTATAACTTGTTTTATAAATGGAACTATTTGGCTGAAGCTTTGCCTTTAAATAAGAAAACAACGCCGTCATATTGTAGACGGTAAACACGTCAACTTATTTGATTCTTTGTAGGACGAGTTGTTTTCGTCCCTTGCTTAACGTTCGCGACAAAAAATTCGAATCAACTTTACTTTTAAAAGCTCTGCCAACTACGTTTGTAGCTTTTATGATAGCAGTTCAATTTTTCATAACACACTGCGAAAAAAACGTACCGGTTTTGATCTTTAACGTCCTTTGTCGTTCTGAATGAATTTGATTCGAAATAAATATGCAACAAACAATTCACAAAGTGAGAAATAAAAATTTTGGTGGTCATAACCGCCCAAAGGCTTCCACCCTTTGCGATTGAGAATAGAGAGAGACACCGATTTTTCATTTTACCGAGTTGTATTATACATTTTCATACAACACAATACAATAAAGCAATACAATGCTATTGGGAAAGTTACAATAGTTGCAAAATCAAATTATCCAGATCCAAAACAAGGCTCATAGAAAAATTGCTAATTCTTTCCTAAGTATTATAATTCCCGTTCCGTCCGTTCAGCTCTTCTATCCCAATATCCCCAATTAATCTTCTCGAAAAGAAGCCTGGAATTGGGAAAGACAGCGATAAGTTTTCTTTGTGGAACAAGGAGAGCGAAATTAAAACAGAAGGCGAGTTTTTTTTCGGCAAAGTGGCAATGATTGTCATCCGATATTCCGGTCTCAACTTTACTTTCTAGGATTTAATCCGGGAACTTGTGGAATACCAAAGAACTTTTCCAATAGGTCTCCGGGTTTTGTAATGGTAGATGGACAAAGTTTATAAAAACGACGGATTTCCCAATGAAACGCCAAGATAATATATCAGAAAGTTGAAAGCGGATAGATTTGGCCCATCGTATACCCTGATATCATTAAGAAAGACAAATGAAATCCAAATTTTGTCCACATCAGGCCGTTTTGTATGACGAGCTTTTATTAGCACATCGAAACAAATTTAAATGTTGGCGCAAATTAATCTAAAGATTTCCCTTGTTATATGGACTTCGGTTATTTGCAGTCTGCGCAAAAACGTAGGATGAATTTCATCAAGAAATTCCATCGATAACGTTAAAATAATCAGCCGGATATTAAATTCTCTGGGGCAAAATGTACATACACCGTTAATAGCCGAACTTTGTCTGGTAATCTCATCGTTTATCGGAAATTTCTCACTGATTCAGTTTATTTTTATTGCCTTCTCTAACAAGTCTCCGCAGCGAAAATTGCTACAAGGCAATTTCCTCCCGGCCGATTATATTTTTGAATTACCCCATTGCTCCTTGTAATAACCTGGTTTGTTTTTATTTCTTCCAGATTTATCTTTAATTAAGGCGCTCGATAATTGAAGGCATTCAATTTCCTGAGAAACTCATGGAATATAATTATTTCCTTTGCATTCAGGTTTTCCATGTGATTTTTATTGAATGTTTGTTCACCACGAGCCCCATCATCCCATTTCTGATTTTAAGTCTCACTTTATGAGTCTGTTCCCGTCCAATATTAGCCTATTGGCGTTCAAAGTTCCCGTAATCTCGTTGAACCCATCTTAAACATTCTCTCATTCGGGATAATCCATCTAACACCATCTTCTTGCAAATCTATGCAAACATATTTTCGTTTCATTAAAATTTACGTGAAATTATAAAGCTGGAGACGCAACGAGTTCATTTCTGCGGCTGATGCCAATTCCGCCAGGCTTGTGGTAGCATCGGTAAACCATCCCACGAAAATGTATATCATTAAGAAATATTATCGGGGAGAGAATTGGGGAGCACCGTATATACAAGAGGGGCATCCTGCGTGTAAGACGACTAATTTCCTAGTCAATTTTCTTCCCCTAGTTCGGCGTCGTCGTCACGTAAACGCAACGGCCTTAACCGACTTTGGATGACGCGTGAGATTCATTTTACGATGAATTTGCATTCAACCCGCTTGGGAAGCACCTAATCTTTCATTTAGCCTGGTTTACACTTCGGTAATTAAAGAGACGTTTGTAAGTCAGTCGGCGATATCATAATTTTATGCGGAATTATTTCCCCCTTCCATTAAATAGGGGCAATTTGGAAATAATGACTTTGTAATAGAATATGTAAGTAATAAAATTCGTTTCTGGCTTTACAAAATGTATTTTGGAAGCTCCTAAACGAGATTTCAAATACCTTGTTTCGATTTGAATGTGACTGTTCTTAGAAAAAGCCGCAATTTCTGGGAAGGACTAAGTCAAAATCTCCGCCTCAAAACGAGAAGTTTAAAATGTAAAGAAAGAGCAGATTAGCAACTTTCCTAGAAGAAGTGAAGTTTTTCATTAATTCCTATGTAATTTTGAATGAATTATATTTATTTATAACCTTGAAAACGAAAATTTGAAAGTACCTTTAAAAAAAACCGGAAAAATAACTATTGCGAATGTAAGCAGGTAGTTTTTTCCTAATTAGCCAATTTATACCTATAATTACTACGTATTTTTTTTAAGACAGCCTTAAATAACGTGGGTAGTCGTTATCATGTTCCTAATTTCCTAATAAGACGATTTTTTACCCCACCCAGCCTGTTGGGCGGTGAAATCTAATATTCCATTAATTAAAGCAACCCGCTGGCAGCGACACGCTACTTGTAATTATATTTTTTGCGGACGGAGCACCTTTCCACCTGAAATGATCCATCTCTAAAGCCATCCGTCGAACGTTGAAGTTTGATAAATTGGAAAATATCAGGCCGCCCATTTATCAAGCACGCTAAGAAATGTCAACAACAGCCGGTCCATATCGTATTAAAAAAGTTTTACGGGGTCCCGCTTTATAGAATGAAATCGCGAGTGGGGAGACATCGCTATGTTTTTCAATTTCCTTAATCGAATGGGTCAGCGCTATCGCTTTAATTTTATATCTGTGGTATCAAACTGTTAATTGTGTTTTTTTTCACATTTTAACGTTTTTTAGATGGTTCTGTACCT